GGCAAAACAATGTCATGCTGCAGCTTTATGCCTGGGGGACAGGAAGCACACTGGGGAAGAGTTTCTATCAGATCAGCCCAGAGGTAGTTAACCCCATGCCATTTAGTGTCAGGAAAGATTGCATGTGACAACAGCATTGACCTGTTGTCCAACATTGACAGGGAAAGTTTACATACTTGCCTTGCCTAGCACACATCCTCAACCTGATGGTGCCCAGGATTATAGCATATTCTGCAGCAGGCCAGAACAATGTGTGGCTATATGAAATTCAGTGGGAACCTGCACACCTCAGCAGGTCATAAATACCTGTTTGAGTATGGCATGAGTAAAGGCAAAGGGGAGCTGTGGTTCTTACCCCCACATCAGTGGCTCTCCATACAGGATACATGCACAATATTGCCATCACTTGAGGAGGCAACGAGAATGGCGAGCTGTGAAATTGCAAGTGTCACTAATCCTATGGTGTTCCATCTGGAGCAGATACTGTGTGGCATTACAGACAGAGCACTGGAAACACAGCAGCAGAATGAAGCCAAGGACTTCCTGCTATATCTAGACACTGTCCCTGTGAGGCCACAGCAGGTACAAGAGGAGTTGTATGGTTGCCATGGTGGTGTTCAGTAAGAGGAGGATATTTGGAAGGCTTCCAGGGGTAAATTGTATTGCTCAGAAACCCTGGAAGTTGTTTTGAGCTGATTAATCAGGGAGTCCTCCCAGAGGGTCTGGGGCCTATGTAGGAATACACATGCTGCCTTTCAGGTGTCTATCCCCCACTGGTGCATCATGAGACCAAACTCATACAATATTCCAACAGTCTGAAAACGTGGAATTAATTTATCTTCATAGATTACTTGAGGGAAATTGTTGACAAATGTTTCTGTCCCAAATAGAGATGCTTCTACAACCCAATCTCCATGAAGGCCACCATATTTCCTGACCATTAACCTGTACAAGATGTATTTTTCACCTTTTCACCTACTCCAGAAGGGAAGCTTTATTGTCTTTATGCAGAGAATTAATCCAAGCCTTGCTCTCAGCATTCATCACATTGGCATCCACCATTAGAGAATGATCTGCTCTGTTCATGGGCCATAATCCGTGGGCAGAAGGATAGCCCCTGTTCCCCTCCAAAAACCCTGTCCTGGTTGGATCTGTCACACTGTGCTCTGCAAGAATATTTGTGTTGGTTTAGGGTTTGCTGCCACCAATAATACTCCTAATTTTTTTAGCAAAAGTGAACGCATATGTAGGTCAAGCACGCATACGTAACAGTGTTTACATCACACATGTGAGGTACATCATAGCAAGAGCAATAATTCTAGCACCAGACCTTCTGTGCAACTCTAAACTGATAACCTGTAAAGGCTTTTAAAGCATCGCCTATGAATAATTTAATGTATTGTAGTTTAAAGCCATGCAACGAGCATGCACAATTTTAATGCATGACATGTTAGGTATCTGTTTACTTAGCGTAACATCATTTTTTATATTTTACCAAATAATTGGGTATCATATTGTGTTTTTGTGTATTAAAATGTATTAAATTCTATTTTCCCCAAAAAAATGTGTTTGAAAAACTGCTGCACAAATACTGTGTGACATAAAAAAAATATATAATTTGGGGGGATTCAAAGTAATTTTTACATGTAGGAGAGAAATTTCAGAATTGGCCAGGGCTGACATGGTTAACTAGCTGAAGTTAGAAGCTGATTGGCTACCATGCACAGCTGCAGCAGATTTGCACTCTCTAGTTTTAGTAGATCGACTCCTTTATGTATCTGCATTGTTCTCCTCAATTTGGCAATTTTTTGCTGTTTGTATTGATCTTTTGAGCCAGCCTTACATTAGCACAATCCAAAATTATGGTATGTGTTGGCCAAACTTCGTGCACCCCTGCCAGACCCAAGCTGTGATTGGACACAGCGCGAGTTTGGCAGATGATTTCAGACAATTATTTTAGCTGCAATAGGCTGATTGGCTGATCAGCTGATACAAAACACAGAACTCTGTGTAGAGGCAACAGTGATATAGTTTTTTATTCACCATACAAAACAGGGAAAATAAGCAGTCATACACTTAAGTGAAAGCAGCACATATCACACACATTATACATTGTTAGGCACACAATTAACCCTGTGATTGCCCCTAGATATTAACCCCTTCCCATCCAGTGTCATTAGTACAGTGAGAGTGTACAGTATTAGCACTGATCACTGTACTGAACATTGTATTTGTAGAAACTATAACCTTCTCACAATCCAATTAATATACACTCCTTGGATTTTTTTTTTAGCAAAGACACGTAGCAGAATACATTTTGGCCTAAATCTATGAAAAAAAAATTTTTTTATGTGTTTTATAACAGAAAGTAGAAAATATTGTTTTTTGCCCAAAATTTTCAGTCTTTTTTCATTTACTGTATATAATAAAAAATACAAAACCCAGCAGCGACCAAATACCACCAAAAAAAAAAACTTTATTTGTGTGAAAAAAAATTATATAAATTTAATTTGGGTACAGGCAAAAACATGGTCAGGTCATGAAGGGAGTAAAACCTTCTGGAGCTCAAGTGGTTAAAGGAATTTGGCCTAACTGAGATTGTTTATATAGAAAAAAAACTGTTTTCATTCTATAACTCTGAATTTTGTGTAAGAAATATACGTTTAATTTTGCCAGCTGATATGTATGCCTTTTTTTCCGCTAATCACCCAATTTATTGTTTTTTTTTAATTGCCTCCCATTGAAATAATCAGATTTTGTGTGGCTAAAAATTCTCATTGCTTTCAAAATATAACCCTATTCATAAGAATGATATTCTGTGCATAACATTTTGACAGGGACCTGTCTATAAAAACAAATGATCTTATTTCGATGGCTGTATTTAGTATATTCTACAAAATCCTATTAAAAAATAAGAGATTCAGTGCAGCACTACAGTACAATTATAATATACTTGTAATATCTTTGAAAAATAACAGTCTCATTGCTTATTGCAGGCTGAAATATGACTTCTCCCTGCTTGTAACATTTCCTTGAATTAAAAAAGATGTGATTCTGTGCACCAAATTTGTTTTTTTTTTGCATAATTTTTGAGGAACAAAATTTCCATTTTGTATTTCTGCCTGATAAATGCTTCCTATTAAAATGGATGAGATGTTGTGTTCAGGGTGTTGAGTGGGAGGAGCTCAAGAAACATTAATTCCCTGTCTCCTCTTCTGTGTATGAAGCCAGAACTGCTTAGCTCTTAGGGTTTCCAGCTGCAGAGCTGTCATTCCCCAGATACTATAGCCAAAGAATAAGCTAATCAAGCACATTCTGTACTTGATTGTTTGAAGCGGAGTACGGGGAGACATTAGGAGTCTATTAATAAGAATTATATTATGCTCTGAATGAAATTCTATTCTGCAAATACTTGTATTTTTATATACCTGTGTTGTAGTTTTAGGTAATATTTCTGGCCAAAATAGGCTGATCCCCTGCCTCAAAATTATACTTCCTTTATTTCTTCCATACATAAATAAGACTGATCCCTGTCTGCAAGAAAGCCTTGCGGCTCTGGAAATTTCCACTCTAAATTAGTTACATACAACAACTGCCAGGTCTCTCCATCTTCCATTGTGGCCTATTAGAAACACTTACATGATGTGCAGTGCATCTCTAAAGTATTTCTGTCTCCTTTCACATAACAAACTGTTTTTTTTTCTTTTTATTTCAGAACAATATACCTCATCTATTTTTATAACCTAATGGTCAAATACAGGTGCTTGCAGTCTGTACAATATTTATGTCCCCTGTTTTTGAAAAATCAAGGCGCCAATCCAGCTGCTTACATATTCTTCAGCTGATGAGCAATACATTTTCCTGTTGTCTCTGAAGAATGGCACTGATTTTTTGGGTGCTCCTTAACAACTGCTGTACCATATCCCTGAAATGTTAGTTTGTGGTTTTGAGGTGCTTTGTTGCACTCTGGGTAGACATTTTATTAAACTTTGCACACAATATAATGTGGTGCTGAAAAGAAGATCACAAGTTATGATTTGGGACTTTCTTGACACTGTTTTGCAAATATTATCTTTAACATGTATCAGCACACATTGGCACAGCATTATCTGATCATCTCTTCCCTTTATTCTCCTTACAGGTACTCTCTGCTGCTCTCAACTTCCACCTTTAACTAAACCTAACTCGTTGCTATCAAGTTTGCCACTGGACTCTAGAGCAGAGACAGTCTAGGCTCTGAAAATATCCCGACCATATGGTCAGGATCCACACAAAAGCCTGGACCAGGACCTGGCTCAGTCTCTGAGCAATCAGTAGAGAGCCTGAGCCAGCCCCCTGCCCCCTCCACAGCCTAGAGCTCCAGTGAGCACTGGAGGGGAAAGAACAGAGAGATAGACTGTGGTGTTTGATAGCTCAGTTCTCTGTGCAGAGCTGTTGGGGAACAGATGCAGTATCAATCCAAGGGGAGTATATTTTTTTTCTTTAAAGCTCACTGTTCTCTATTCACATCATTGTGTTGAGTAGGGAGCCATCCAATGGGCATTCACTGCAATTGCAGGAAACAGTCTCACTCACACATCAGTCCAGTTCCAGTTTAGCTTCCAGAAGGACATACCCTTCTCCCTTTGATACACATATGTCTGTAAGTTCTTTCATTGTGTTTGTCCAAGTCATATATATATATATATATATATATATATATATATATATATATATCACATCACTAGATCCCATCTCAATATATTTAATGTGATTTGTAGGTAGCGGTTTGTAGGAAATGTGTTCATTGTAGGCATTTGTGAGAGACATGTTCTCAAGCATATTGTAATTTCAGTTGATGTAATTGTATTGCCATTTTACAAACCTATTCACAGAAGTAAATTCAGTTTTGGATTGAAACAAAACACTCTAACCGTGTGCGCTTCCCCGGGGGCGGGCAGTGCGGGATTCGGTGGTGCGCTGTGTCCCTGGGACACAGCGGATCACTGATCAACAGAAAGAGCCAAAGACATCGGCTCTGTCATGTGATCAGCTGTGTCCAATCACAGCTAATCGCATGTAAATAAGGAAATGCCGGTTATCGCAATTTCTCTCCTCAGTAATCGGCATTCCTCAGAGGGGACATGTACACAGATCATCAAGGCACTGATGATCAGTGTGCCCTGATGATTAGTGTAGCCCCAGCAGTGCCTCCTGTCAGTGCCCATCAATGCCACCTGCCAGTGCCCATCAGTGCCACATCAATGCCACATATTAGTACCTACCAGTGCACATCAATGCCATATATCAGTGCCCATCTGAGCTGCCTTTCAGTGCCATCTATCACTTTCAGTCAGTGCCACCTATCAGTGCCAGTCCATGCTGCCTATCAGTGCAAGTCAGTTCCACCCAACAGTGCCAGTCAGTGACACCTATCAGTGCCATATATGAGTGCTGCCTTTCATTGCCCATTAGTGATGCCTGTCAATGCCCATCAGTGCCACCTACCAGTACCTCCTCATCAGTGCCACCTATCAGTGCCCATCAGTGCAGCCTATCAGTGCTCATCACTGCAGCCTCATTAACGCACATCAGTGAAGGAGAAAAATCACTTATTTACACAATGTTTATAACAGAAACAAAGAAAAAAAAACTTTTTTTTTTAAAAAAATGTCAATAGTTTTTGGTTTGTTTGGCAAAAAATAAAAAACCCAGAGGTTATTAAACACAACCAAAAAGAAAGCTCTATTTGTCTAAAAAATGATAAAAATTTCATATGGGTACAGTGTTGCATGACCGCGCAATTGGCATTCAAAGTGCAACAGCACTAAAAGCTGAAAATTGGCTTGGGCAGGAAGGGGGTATAAGTGCCCTGTAGGCAAGTGGCTAAACTGCATAGATAACCACTTGAAGTACCTGGATCACCAACGTGGGATTTTCATAAAAATACTGAAGAAGTCTGTCCTTGGACACCAAGTACGACCTTCCTAATATACCCTCTAAATCTCCTTTCCCCTTTTTTCTCCTTCCACTTTCCAGACCTTGCCCTTATTTTCCACACATTTTTTTATCCCTACATTTCCAATGCAGCCCTTTGGTCCATTGAGATAAAACTCCCCCTCCACTCCCCCTTCAGACCAACCCTATTGTAACATATGCCTAGCTCAGTAATCAATCAACCCAAGAGCTTCTCAACTGGTTTCCTTTTTCTTTATTATATTTGTCTTATTATATGTAATAAATGAAGTCTTGTTATTACATAATGTTCACTTATCCTGTACCATTGTAGTGTGTCGGGCTCTCTCCAGAGTTGATGGCTATATTTGATAAGCCTATAAAATCCATTAGGCTTATCAATTAGTACACTTATAGTAATTAATTAGTACATTCACAGAATCAATTTTCATGGATCATTTTTGCAAATGAATGTGTAGATTTTGTATTTAAAAAGGATATTAATTACAAATAATCATAACTGGGGAAAAGATCCAATCACGGCTGTATTTTTTTTATATCCCAGGCACTAGTTGCAGGGTAGAGGAGCTGAACTCAATCAGAGTTTCTATAGGAGACCTGACCTCTAGAAGTAGCATACTTCCTATCAATAAGTTCTCATTGTCATTCAAAATACAATACTTGCAATATCTTATTTTAATTGATTAATAACAGTATAATCATACGTCACCTTGATCTACTCTCACAAAGGAAATAACCAAACTACTGTATGATCAGCATCAAGAAGAGAGCTTCTCAATGACTTATTTCACTTGTTAAGGTGTGTTTTTTGGGTTTTTGACAAACTTTTATTTTCCTGAAAACCAGAGCATAACATTCTACGCATACAGGGTTTTATTCCAGCATGTTACAGAAGCAAATAATTTCAAACCTCTTGGCTATTTGTTGTACAGCTCTGTCTGCACTTTCAGCTAGACAAAAAATTTACAGTCCCTGATTCTGCTTGACTGGTTCCCTAAAGCCAGCTATAGACGGATCAAAATTCGGCCTGTTCAGGGACCAAATTTTGGTCCATCTATGGGCAGGCTGGTTGTACACAACTCATCTTTTAATCAACTTATGTAAAACCAGCCTGTTGGAAAATGTTGGTTGATCAGTGCTGTTGTGTATATGTTGTGTAATTTGTGTTTTCTGATATTAGGGAAATCTGCTCACTGTCAGAGTACAATAGCTGAGCTGGAGGGATTCCCTCATTCATCTCCAATGTGTTGATGGGGTAATATGTTGCAGAGATTAGACATCAGTTAGCTCCCTGTTCACAAGCACAAAAGACCTGAAAATGCACTGTGTTCTCCTCAAACTACTGCCTCAGCAGCAATGATTAGCACAAGATCCCTGATTGAATGCAGCTTCTTTTATTTATGGACCAACCCCGCCTGTCCTTAATTAGATAACTTCCACTGGGTTACCTGCTCTAAGCTCCCAGGCACCCTTTCTCTGCAAATACTTATCTGTCTCTTTCTGACTTACTACCTGTTCATTGTGACAGTCAGTGCTCCTGTCAAAATACATGATATTCTACAGTATATCATAAATAATAAAGTACATTTGTGATTCTGCTTTCAATGTTACCCCCACTAGCTGCAGATATTATCATTCCCTTGCCTCCTTTCGCCCCATCCTGTCACACTGTTTATACTTAAGATTGGAATACATGATTAGAAAATCGACCGATCGGTCATCCGATGACCGTGAGGTGTTCGTTCATTGGTCGAAATCGTGGCCCACATTAACCAATCTAAAGAAATTGTTTGTTGGGCAATACGTAGTGTTGATGTCTTCCATACAAGTGGAAGTGATGCAGTGTGACCTTGTAGCCATGCCCTTCCAGCCAGAATGAGTGATATACACAACAATTAACAGCAATGAGTATAATACAGTTTATTACATTAACTATATACATAAATAGTGATACATAAAAATTTAGCATGCATAATTCTGGTTTCATTATCTCATTAGGTCAATCTACTTTTAACAATTGGATTTTTCCTTTGTGTTTACGAAGATTACTTGGACATAATCATCCGGGTCATCTTCTGTTTCAGCTCATGTGTGATAGCGCTTGATAGATTTTTTTTCGTACGGCCGTCATACTACCACATAGAAAATCGGTCGTTCGTATGTGAAACAACAACATTTTTCACTGTTGTTCAACTGGATCTTTTCGTTCACAATATCATTATCAGTTAAAACATCCTGCTCATCAACAAAGATCAGTGGCTCTGCGAAATTTTGTGTATGATTTTCTTATCGTGTGTACAGGGCATTAGGGAAGAAGAGGGGAAGCATTGTGTATGCTACAAATATCAAGCTGGTGATTACACAAATGTGAGAATTCTTTCCCTGCCCCCATGTGCCAGTGTTGGGTGCTTAAGCAGCCAATCATTAAGCAGCAGTGTTGACATGTGCAAAAAAGGGGAATGGGTCACATTCTCCCATATTTTAGGGTTATTGACATTTTCATTTGCTCTTGGTGGCCAAATGGAGTGGCAGGGGATGATGGAAAGGTGAGTACGTGCTGCTGGCAGGGGTACCTGAACCTGTTTTGCAAGCTTCAGCACAGAATCACATTTAAAATATTTTGCTTTAAAATGACTGGTAAGATAATCAAAAATATTATTTCATATTGTCTTGAAAGATGTTCAATACCATTAGTACATTCTTTCGTAGATGAACCCCTTAGTGCTCTCAGCTGCAACATTTACAATAACTTGATAGTAGATTTGATAATAATTTTCACTCCTGCTTGTATTTCATGCTACTGTACTGATTAATAATCTTACTCTTTGCCAGACACAGTTTTGTTGTCTTTATCTACTACTGAAAGATGAACTACACTGCATGTGTGCACCATAAACCAAAAACATTTTGCTGAGCAATCACAACACACCCTAGCATTTCTGGCTGTGGCCATCTTGAGTAAGGGCAGATGATGATGCATGTAGCTTTACTTCCAGGAATCCATCTGCCCTTAGCTTAGGCATGCAGACAGGAGGGTGTGCTTAACTGAGAAAGCCCCACCTCCCCTCCTGAAAACTCCTGGGACAGATGCCATCATTTTCCTAGGCCTGGAAACCAAGAAATAACTGGAGAAATATAAAAGAAAAGTTCCAAAGCTTTTATTTAAAGTAAATGTGATATACTTTCCCATCTATTTACTAATGCTAGCAGCACAGGGATAAAAAATAGTCAGTGTTGACCAAGAACATAAAGTTCTGATTCATTGATTTTGAAATTATTTAGTAAAAGTGACAAGGCATATGTCATTTTGAAAGAGGTGGTTGGATCAGACCTGATTTACTAAACAAATACCATTTGTACATTGATAATTCTTTACACCTCTGCACCTCTTTTAAAGTAATTTAATTAGCATGAGGGCCAAGCAACAATATTTTCAAAGATGACTTTAAAAAAAAATTTTCTCAGTGTAGTCTTTAATAATTGTCAAGACTCCAGGTTACAAACCTGGCCAGCATATGAGAAAAAGCATCAATGAGAAAATGCTGGATAGAATACATTTGAATTTTGAATAGAATACATTTGAATAGAAAAGAATAGAATAGACTAGACTAACAGACAATAGAATAGAATAAAAAAAGAATTATAACCATCTTTTGAAATTTAATTTTTGAATAGAATAAATTTAAAGAGTAGAATAGAATAGAAAAATAAAATAAGAGAAAATAATAGAATATAAAAAAAAAATAGAAAATAGAATATAACCATCTTCCGAAATTCAAGTAGAATAGAATAGAATTCAATTAGAATAGAAAATAAAAAAAACAGAATATAACCATAATCCGAAATTCCAGTTTTGAATAGCATAGATTTGAGTTAGAATAGATTAGAATAGAATAGAAAAGAATAGGATAGAAACAACAGGATAGAGTATAAAAGAATAGAAATGAAAATAACAGAATAAACAATAGAATAGAATAGAGTAGACTAGAAAGAATACAATCATCTTCTGAAAGTTTAATTTCAAATAGAATAAATTTGAATTTAAAAAGAATAGAAGAATAGAATATAATAGAAAATAAAAGAAAGGAATAGAATAGAAAAAAAGAATAGACTAAAACAAAATAGATTCTGAAATTCGAATTTCATATAGAATACATTCGATTTGAATAGAACATAATAGAATAGAAAAAAATAGAAATAGAATAGAATAACAAAGAAAGAATATGATTGCCTTCCTAAAATTGAATTTCAAATAGCATAAATTTGAATTTTAATAGAATAGATTAGAATAGGATAGAAAAAATAGGATATGATGGAATAGAATAGAGAATAAATGAATATAATAGAAAAGAAAAAAAAACAATAGAATAGAATAGAAATAATTTTGGATAGAATAAATTTGAATATAAATAGAATAGAACAGAATAGAAAAGAATAGAATAGAAAAAAGAATGGACTAAAATAAAATAGATTCTGAAATTCAAATTTCAAATAGAATACATTTGAATTTGAATAGAGTAACAGAATAGTAAAATACAATACAATACAATA